AGCCAAAATTTATCCACTACTTTCATAAATATCAGTTTTTATAAATACTTTCAAAAATAGCCAAAAACCTACCTGAATAGACTTAAATGTCCTCAAAACTAAAACTCACATAAAAGTTAAAACTACTACTATTTGATTATATATATTGGACAAATTCGGGAAACATTAGGAAAAGGAAATCACACTTGTGGATCCCGCTTCCATCTTCTAACTATCCATTCCATTACTGACGTCCTCAGCCCAGAGGCAGCCCCCTCCTCCATCTCCATGTAGAGCATTGATCACATACAATACACACTTTTATATTCAAGTCAAAGTAGCTGATTCCTCAAGGCCATCTTGGTTGTGCAAAGTCATCTTTATAAACGGGCCCAAATGATTATAAGCATATAACTAGATAGTTAATTAAGGATCAAAACTTGTATATATATGTTGTGGATCAAGCTACTTTGATAGTTTTTTATCCTTAAATTACACATTGCAACATACGCTACCTATAGACAGTTTTTGATCCTTAACTATCTAGTTATATGCTTATAATCATTTGGACCTATTTACTAAATGAGTATAAGCATACAACTAGATAGTTAAGGATCAAAACCTCTATATATATGTTGTGGACTGTTAAGATCCTATGAGCACGACCATGCTTGGCCCTGGATATGTTTATTAAAAAAAATGGTAGACCGAACAAAGAAGCAAGGGAAACACAAAAAAAATATAAATAACGGCATTTACAGTACAAGGAGTTCGATTAGTGCTGCAAACGTGTCTACTAAATTCTAAATTTTTATTTGGTAGGGTTTTGCATTTTAGGTTTATGTGGTTTTAGTTTCGAGGGCATTTGAGTCTATTTTAAGTGGGTTTCTAGCTATTTTTGAAAGTTTTTTAAAAAACTGACATTTATGAAAGTATAGGGTAAATTTTGGTTATTTTTGATACAAACTCTAAGTTCACCCTTACATTTCAAATGTCATTATATTTCAACTAATTTGCTCTTTAAAACGGGATATGTATAAATAAAAAAAACACGCATTACACGTGTATTTTTCATAAAACGGGATATGCATCTAGACACTTTGAATCATTTCACCATTTTAGATCTAGATATCAAATTCTTGTATTGATTTCTTGAAGAAATTGATCTTTTCTTTTTAGAATCTACATTCCATCATATCATTCTTGACGTGTGTTGTGTTGTTAGTGCCATGAGGTAAAAGAGCTCAAGAAGGATGCTGCCACTTTCATGAAAGACTAGCTGCAAACATTTTAACTTGGAGAATAAGACTGCTTAGGAAGGTATAGCTTGCACCTGTTTTTCTTTGTAACTTTCTTTCTCTATTAGTGGATTGCCTTGTCAAATGATGACCCCCAATTTTTCAAAGCGGTGGGTTTCTCAGTGAACATCTTTGTATGTTACTCTGTTTGGTTGCCTGGTCATACTATATATGTGTCACACCCCAAATTTTTTTTTTCTTATGGAAGTGTGAGGTAAAAGAAAAACTAGAACTAAAATTTAAGTAACAAGAAAAATGAAAACTGAACAGAAACTTTTATTTAAACCAAAGTAATTTACATCGTAATTTTACAAGCAAAATAACAGGAAAGAAACTCTCTCTTAACTTATTTTTCTACAACAAAACGTCCAAAACTATCTACAACTCGTTCTTCTTGTTTCAGGTCACAAACTAAACCTTAGATCCAAAACCTGCAGCAGATTTAATAAGGGGTGAGCACTACAAGCTCAGTAGGGGCCCTATGTCTTATGCAATTAGTGAGAATTACAATATGTAAATTATGCAATGCATGAATGAACTTCAATTCTACCCAACCCACCAATCTATATTATACGGCAAGCAAATCTGCATATCCCATACCATGCATTTTACCACACTACTACATTTAACCATTTGCGCGACGGAGAATAATTCGTCGCACAAAGAACAATCGAGTCGCACTAGGTTCAGCGCGATAGAGACAATCACCGTCGCGCAAAGTTCGTAAAGAATAACTTTGCGCGACAAATAATTGTTTTAGTCGCGCAGAATGCGACAAAGAACAATATTAGTCGCGCAAACAGAGCGACGGTTAATATTCGTCGCACAAACATTCGTCTCAAAACAATACGCGCGACGACAACTAAATCGTCGCGCAACATAAAGGGCGACGGTTAAAACTCGTCGCAATTTTCACGTCGCCAAAATATGCGCGACGAGGGCTGTACTCGCACCAACTTTCGTGCGGCGAAAGGTTTTCGTCTCTCTAAAATTTGCGCGACAAAAAATATTAGTCGCATTATCTTTTCCGAGATGAAAATTGTTCGTCGCGTAAAAATAAATATAGAGTTTTCAAATTTAATTTAAATTTATACTGTTGTATTTGCGCGACGAAAATTTTCGTCGTGCAAAATTAAATATATTTTATTTAATTTTAATTTTACCCTTTTTTTTGTAATAAAATATTTTTAATTTTAATTTTAATTTTACGTTTTTTTTTAATAAAATCTATTTGATTTAATTTTAATTGTACTTTTTTTTTTGCAATATATTTTATTTAGTTTTAATTTTTAATTTTTTTTTTGTAATAGAATAAAATTGCAATAAAAAACCATAATGAAGAGGAAAGATAATATAAATTTATATAATACAAGACAAAATGTTTAAAATGTAATTAAGAAAGTTAAAAACTAATAAAAAAATGTAGCAACATCTATGTTGTCTTTTACTCTAGAATACTAGTTCGCGGTTTTTTCTCTTAGTTTTACGCGACGGTCGTCTTCGCTCTCGCGCTAAGCTGTTTTGCGTGACGAAGTTTGTTCGTCGCTCTCTTTTACGCTACGCATATTCTTGTCCGTCGCGCGATGGTCTTATGTGCGACGATTTTTACTTCGTCGCGCAAACTACCGTTGCGCAAATAGTAAAACGTAGTAGTGCCATTGTGATTCCGAATGGCCTATTACATAAACTAACACCCGTAACATTCTCAATTTCATATTCTCCTTTTGCTATTCGTCTTGTCTAAACCATCGATCTCCAAGCCCAAATCAAGGTAGCCACCAAATAGCTGACAACGAGTTGATCCTGTTGAAACCAGAGAAGATAGTCAGGGTTGGGAGAAGGAACAGTAGAGTCAGAGACAATGAGGGCTCGTTTGGTACACGGGACTGTCTTGGCATGGACTATGCTTAGGGACTGTCTTGGCTTGGCTTGGCTTGGTCTAAGTTGGATAACACTTATCCTGCGTTTGGTGTATGCTTGGACTAGGACTAGATTTTTTATTTTTTATTTCAAAACTATCTATGTATATGTATATATGTATAAATACATATATATTATGTATGTGTACATATGTATTTTATAATATATGTGACATGTATGTGTATATACATGTATATATGTATATTATAAATAATATAAACATATGTATGTATATATATATATATGTACACATACATGTATATACATGTATATATATATATTATAAAATA